ATTGTATGCTCTATTATCTAACAGAGCTCGAATTTTCTTTTTCCTCGTCGATCATTAAATCTATCTTCTTCTTCTATCTATCTATCTATCTATCTATCTATCTATCTATCTATGTTAATAAAAACGGACGGGGTGTGTATGTCCGACATCTCTTCTCCTCATCGGCCAATTTGTCTATTACTTCGAAATTTTACCGGAATACACTACGAAGGTCAGGGATCAGCACTGCAGGGGTCATAAGTCTCCATCTGAAAAATCCCTCCAGTATTCCTTTAATAAATATCTCTCCCGCAAGAGACATCGGGCACTTATGCGGTTTTTGCATTTTTCATTATTATTTTTCTCAGCTGACCGAGCTATGGTCGTCCTGGTTACACGTCTCTTTCCGACGACACTTGAAGCGAGTTTTCGTGATCTAATATCATTTATCAAACATTCTTCTTTTATTCGTTCTTCGTGTATCGATCTTTGATATATCGTTCAATATAAAGCAGGATAGACAGGGATAAAACGAAATTTATTGATGATATTCACCGAGCTAAAAGGTAGGAATTTTCAGAATAGGTAGAGGAATAATTAGTGTGAAACGGGGTAGATAAGAATTAAACAGGATAGATAGAATAAAGCATAGGGTAATATTAATCGATCTTCGACGTATCGTTCGATATAATAAAATACAGGGTTATTCAAAAGTTACGCACCACTGGCCATAACTTTAGTTCTAATTATAATATCGATTTGCGGTTTGTGGCGTCCTTCCTCGTATCGAGGGGGAAACTTTTTGAGGTAGGTACTTTTCAGTTCTTCACCCCCCCAGAGGGAGGGGGGCGGGGGGCAACTTAAAAATTTCAAATGGCAACCCCCATCATGTGATACATCGTTAGAAAGAGCATAAAAAAGAAAATTTTTGGCGCCAACCGGAAGTCGATCTGACCCCCCTGTCAAAAGTTAGGGGGGTCCAAAGGTTATTTAGGGAGTCCGTACCTTAATTTTTTAGAGTAGTTTCGGCGGCTCTTGGACATACCGTTTCTCTTTTCAAAGAGTCCTCGAATACTCCAAGTCTGATACCGAAGTCTTCATATTGCCCCCGGCCCACAGCCCCCCCCCCCCCCCCCCCCC